ATTCTTGTTTCTATGACCTGGCAATTTGCCTTGTCAGTGGGTTGTTTACTTTAGTAACTGAAGCAGTGAAAAGTAGACCTTTAGAATGTCAGGTTAGCCAAAATTTTAGAGAGATTTGCTACTAAAATTTTAAGTATGACCATGTGATCAAGGCTCTATTGAAGTGAAAAAATTTACATATATATATCAAATATGTATATGTAATAATACATTAATTTATATCAGGATATACATATATGAGAATATAACTAAATAGAAGAACTGTGAGATTTTGCTATGGTACTATGTCATTTTTTGGACCTGTTCTTTGCAGAGAGCTCTTTAAAGAATTTGTTCTGTTATCTGAGGGATTATTGTGTAAATGAAGCTGTGACTCTCAGCCTTTGTTCTAAAACTGAGCTAATTGGCTAAACTGATGTTGTGATGGTGAAACAACTGCTGTTTCCATCAAAAAACTGCATGAACAGCTGCTTAGGCATAGCTACTCTTCATAGCAGCAACAATAGCTATGAGAAAATTCACCAGAGGAATACAAAGAGAAGGCAAGTTTGATTGGTTACATTGATATTTTGTTGGGTAGTAAAGAGAAGGCTTTAGAAAATAATGCACACAGAATTAGTCCATCAAAATGTATAGCAGTTTGGAGAGTGGAAAGATAGCTCAGTTGATAAAGAGTGTGCTTCATAGGCAAAAAAAATCAAGTTTTAGTCCCATATACCTCTTAACAACGCCTGATGTTGTAGTGCCTGCTAATGATGCTGGTGCTAGAGAGGCAAAGAAATGTATATTCCTAAGGTTCACTGGTCAGACAGCCTAACTTCCTTCAAGAGTTTCAAGTTATTGAGAGATTCTGCCTTAAAATATAAATAGGATAATTCCTTAGAAAAACCTCCTGAGGTGATGTTATCCTTCAGTCTCCATCTACGTGTACACACATGTACATGCTCACCTGAACATATACTCATGTACACATATGTGTGCACACAAGCATGTGAGTGTGTGCACATGTTACACACACAAACACACACAGAGAAACAGAGAGAGACAGAGACAGGAGATTTAATAAATAAAAATCTTATAGCATTGCTAGAGTAATATAAATTCACTACAACTTAAGAGAAGGGTAATAATTTCGTTTAATAGAGAAAACAAGGAGTACTGTTAGAATAATCAACATTAGATAAATTTCAAGTTTGAACATGGAAAATATATACAGAAGCCTTAAACTATTAAATAGTATAAGCCTGGTTGATACTGAATGTTTCTAAAATGTTTTATATTCTATCACCTAGAATAAGGTATAGGTCACAAACAAATCTCACTTCAAACCAATGTATTAGCGGCCTATAGAACTTATTTGATATCCATAATTATGTATTATGGATGTCAAAGCAATACTGGCTATTAAAATTAATTCAAATATATATATATATATATATATATATATATATATATCGGGCAGATGTTTTAATAGAAATGTTAAAAAGTATCTACGA